CTTTTTATATCTAAGATTTGAAAATGTTTAATAATCTATAATATATCCTATACAGATAAACCGTCTCCGCTCAGAATCGTTTTTCGTATACAATGATATTATATCATTGGATTCAAATTTAATTCCATCCATTACAGTTACCCACTTGTAACCTTATACTGTACATCAGAGCAACATCCACGACTTACCCACTTTTTTTAATTCAAAAATCAATTGTATTGAACGAGAAAAAAAGATGTTCACACATAATAATTTCTGTCTCTTATACAAAAGATTTGATGACATTTTCAAACTAGTTTACACCATGTAACCAGCTAACCTGCTATGGCTAGCTGTGTAATACAATATCTCATAATATTCAAACGATGAGTTGTGTGTAGTACCTAACAATTATAGCGAGGGCGCATTCSCGTCCATTCACGCAAACAGCCACTAGTGTATAATAAYAAACAGGCACTTCGCCTACCATACACATCCTTCTCCTTYTACTGATGTTGAAGTGATTATGATAATAATCATGATAGCTAAAATAACAATAATAATAATAATAAATATGACTTCACACAAACGGACTTTACCGAAGCCACGACCGTAGCTGCCTCAAGTTTTGCAGGTATAAATACATGAATTATTATTATATGTAAATGTGAATTCGAAGCTGTAATTAACAAGTGACTGGAAGGGATTGCCTCGCGTGCCAACGACCGCTCACCCTCAGACAAGTGTCCTACACTCAGAATATGAATTGGGGGTGTTTCAACTCGTCAGYCTTCACGCGCCAATGGGTTTTATCAAATTTTCCCTTTTCATTATTTTGACATTTTCGCGCTAAAAAAGACGTGGCAAGGCATGCTGGTGAATATATATTGAACACTAACTTAATTTAATAAATCATGCGTAACGGTTCTGGTGGATAATTTTATGCAGATTTAAAGAAAAAAAAAGTTAAAAATTCTTCAAGATTAAAAATATTTCTGTTTGTTATTTTTTAGAACTTTAATTTTAAAAACAGTAGTTTATTTTGAAAATTACAAAGTACAGTATTTTTTTTTTTTAGATATAGGTAGGTACAYACATCGAATATTGGTACTCTACTTTTTATATTATGACCTAAAATACAATATAGGTTGTATGCTTAAAACTATGAGTATAGTTTAAAAAATTATAGTATTTTATATTATTGTATAAATAAAAAACAAAGAGTATTATCACTGCATTCAGATACATATATTATATATATATTGTGATTACTGAATTCTGTCAACATAGAACGATGACGTTATTGTAACATTTTCGTAGTCACGCAAACTTACGTAATATTATCCCCATTCATAAGACGTGTAAATTGATCAAATTAAAAAAATATATACCTAGGTAGTTATTTAAAATGCTAATAATAGAAACAGAAAATAATGAGTTATTTTGAAATTCATAAAACAATTATTTGGTTTAATACTTTGATATAATTCTACCTTAAAAATATACATTACATATTTATATAGCATAACACAAGAATTTGGGCATATATATTACCTACGCTTTACTTCATATTAATTTTATATTGATACATATTCACTTAAAATAATAAATAAAGCACATAATTATAAATTATAATGTACTAAATTTCATGATAAACACTATAAACTTCATTATTATACAATATAATAGGTACCTATTCTACTGAACAGCTCAAATAAGCTATACTTAAAARWTATTTCTGATACAGTCGACTAGGTTACTGTACTGG